TCCATAGGATGGTTCCACGCCGGGTGCGACATGGGGGGCTGTTCATCTACCCCCTATTCTAGAAGGGAGAATTCATTATATTTTAAGAAAGAGATCTATCTAGATAAAAATGACCCATCAAGTATCAACTATAATATAAAGATCATAATCTGCTTCGAAAATGCCTAAAACAATTCTATTACAAATATACGTTAAACCAAAAGGAACATCCATAAATGGGTTTGTTTAAGTCAACTCCAATACTCGTTTTGCTTTTGTCTATAATCAGTTATGCATATCAAGAAAGCAGCAGCAGCACCGAAGCCAGGACAGTGCCAACCCCCTTCCTATCTCCTCAGCAAGGTAAGAACAATTTTGTATTGATCCAAACAATTTGACACCTCCACTTAGTTGTGTCTATTTTTTTGGCCTTCTCTTTAATTCATTTGTGGGTCTTGTTCATTTTACAGTAATCAAGTTAATTCTTAAAATTTGTTCTTTTTTTTTTTTTTTATTATTATTATTGGAGTAATCAAGCTAATTCTTAAATTTGTAGTGAAACACTCGAAGGCTTTTTCAACTTTTGGGCTGGTCTGCCGGTGTTGCGACGGTGGAGGAAGCTCCATTGGTGGTGGAGAATGTACAAATTCATGGATCGGGTCTTGCTCCAATCTCCAGTGTCTTCCATGGAAATTACACTAACAAAATTGTTGAGTAAAATCTCTTTTGTACAGAATAGTCTACGATCACTTTGATTACAAATTTTGTAACAAGTGTCTGAAGCAATATTATTGAATAACAACAAAACGACAAATTAATTTTATATTGTTACTATAACATAAGCCCTTGTTTGAATCCCATTCGACGGCCTATTTGATTTCATCCTCGACTTATCTCGTGTCTTTATATGAAGATCAACATTTTCTCGAAATTACAAATCGACTCCACCGGCATAGACATAATTAAAAAAAGAAGAAAGCATATTTTATTAAGAAATTCGTTCTTCCCACGTCTCTCTAACACAGTCCATGTGACTTATTATTATAGAATACAATATCACAGTAATATTGGACCAACAAAATGTGATGTGTCTTTCCCACATTATTAATTAGAAGTACCTAGACTTCATAAGGAACATGTAACTTTTTGTGATAGGTAGATAGAGAGTATAGAAAACCCACCATGGTCCAACAAGATAAAACGATAAGGTCTGTCTCTTCATTCTCTTGACCCATCTAATCATCTCATCCAAGATACTATGTACACAGAGGGTTCTTCGAAAAGTTTACAAATTAAGTGAGACTTTTATCTTATCCAACTTTTCATAAAGTTGGATAAGATAATAACAACTTGAGGGTATTAAGCCTCTTTTTGTCATCTTGCTAGAGCGTACTATGTACCTAATCGGATGAAATTTCAAATAAAGCATGTTCAATGTATATTTTTTGATAATAGATTTTGTGAAAAACGAATTTTTTATTGAGAATGTGATTGAAAACGAATTTTAAATAGTTTGTACCAAATAAAGATTATGATAATTTTTATTATGTTGCACCTCTACCACTTACTTTCTTGGCATGAGTGAGAAACTTTAAGCTTGATCTCTTTATGTTTCAATCAACTTGTTAAACATTGGCCAATTTGAACTCGAATCAGTTGTTTCATTGAAGATGCATTGCTTTAAATTTAGGCATTGAAACATAAAGCAAAACTTAATTTCATAAAGTTAAAAATATACTAGTTGACTATCTAATAAAAATTCAAATTATTTATGAAAAATGAAAAATTTAACTCACTATCAATGAGATTCTATCAAGGTTAATGGGATTGTTGAATTCTTGCCTTCAAATAATGGAATAAAAATGATTTATATTAAAGCTATATGATTCATTATTATAGATCAATCTAGAACCCGATAGATCATTCCTTTCGACTTTTTCATAAAGGATATACGTGAAGTTGCACATTATCTCTTTTCTACAATATCTTCAAGGAGAAAAAAAAAATGTTGCGAAATTCATATCGTCCATTATTTCATATTTCATAACAGATCGAACCAAAACATAAATGTGATTCACTAAACATAGATCTAATTTTTCAATTTCCCTTCAAACACTAATAGCAAACAAATCTACATGTTATTAATTAAAGATTTTACTACTTTTACATCAAAATGGTACATAAATAATTACCTAAAATAACATGAACGAAAAAAATTAAATAAAGATATTGATTTTATTTTAAATTGATAAATGATAGAACGTCGTACACCCAGAGAGGACCAAAGTTAGAAGTGGGGGGTTTTATAGAAAGCGATGTCACCAAGTAAAGGAGGAGAGGAATCGTTATTATCCACTAGGTACTCGTGGTAGTAAAATGTTGGAAGTTGAAATCCTGGTCCCACACATACAACAGATTCTTCCACGTGGCACATAATTATTTCCGACGGCTACGACTCTCCGAGGAAATAACGCCAAGTAACTGAAACTGAACAACAGCACAAAAACGACCGGTAAAATTGTTGTAATTGGTCCCTATTCTATTGTTCCAAACGTAATTGTAATACAAAGATTTCAGAAAATTTACAACTTTAACCATTTATGATCTAAGTATTCAGAAATACACACAACTCATAAGTACTTAAATTTTTTATCAAATATAATAAGACTTCGAGTTTCATCCTATGTATCAACCTTCTTAACAATAATAGTTCAAACTTTTCATATTTATTTAAAGTGAGATTTTGCACTTAATTTTTCCTTCGAGTAGACAAATTTTAAAATCCTAAAGCTCACTAAAATTTTATACAAAATAAATTGCACGTTCGATTTTAAAGGGCTCTATAATATTAAAATTTAGAATTTAATCTTAAAAAATCAACTTTATTAAAAAAAATAGTTTAAACTCTTACATGTCATTTAATATATTTCATCTTTATCAACAAAACAAGACATCGATAGTTGATTACTTTGAATGCCAATTTGAATCTGAATTTGGAGGAGGAAAAAAAAGGGGACTTTCGCCATGATTGCTATTTGTTAACTTAATTAAATTTACTCAGTTAGTCACCAAGCTCTTAAAAATATTAAAAAACACCTTACTAGTAAATAATTAAAAAAATAATAACAAAAGATTAAAAATGAATGCTTCGTGTGCATCTTATATCCATCTTTCTCAATTTTCATCATCATCCCCGTTAATTTCATTTTGTGTACAGTGAATCCCTAGAAAAGGACGTCGATGAAACATTTCTCATTTCGTATTTTTTAAGTACTGAACCTAAATTAGGGAGCAAAGCTGGCTTTGTAAAATTTTACGTGCGAGAATAAAATGATTATTTAATAGAGATTTATGTGATTTTGCAATTGAGAACGGATTGTTTAACTTATATTGCAAGATTGAGGAAGAAAGTGCTTTCTTTTTAAAAGTTAGGATGAATTTGTTGAAGTATTAATCTGTTTGGGATGAACGGTGCAATTGTACATATAGTAAGTAGAAATGGGAGTTAAATGTTTTGTTTAGTGATTAGTCACTAAACTTTTACCTTCATCACGCTATACTCATTGAATTTTAAAATGCTTTTCAATGGTCGTTAAACTATAAAATGTTGTACTCCATCACTCATTTATTATGTTTCATTAGTCACTAAACTTATCCATTCGTTGCCTTTTACTCTTTGAATTTAAAAAAATGTTTCAGAGTGGTCACTGAATTTTCATAATGTTTACGAATAAAGATAATTTTAAATGAGATTCGCCAAAATTAAGAAAACAAAATAAAAATCAACTAGATAATGAAACCCTCAATCTACTAAGAGAATATTGACATTGGTCAAGAAGATATAATTTTTCGAGTCTTAATTAACTATGTTGAGGGAGGAAGAAGAATGTTTGCTTCAATTTTACTTAAATATTAATTTAGATAATAATTTTAAATAAAACAGAGAAAATATTTCTTTATTTCGATTGAGATCATAGACCCAAATTAAGAAAATAAAATATTATACTTCAAATAGACAATGAAATTTTAGATTTAGAGTCAGTAAAATTAGTCAAAACTAACAATATATAATTTTTAGAATCATCACACGGTATTTTAAGAGGAAAGAAATGTATCGTCTTGGTGTATGGTATTTTTATATTGGACAATTAGCACGCAACATTCCTACCTTTCACTATTATTGTGAAAAACGTCCATACCTTCTATTTTTTTACATTTTGACTCTTAATTAAATCTTTGATTGCGCAAAAACGTTATTTTTCATCTAATTTCTCAATAAAAAAACTGTAGAATAACGAATATACTCTCATTTAAATTTTTTTAAAAATAAAAATTAAAAAAATATTGCAATCATACTTTCAAATTAAAAAATTGAAAGTAGGTGTAGGGGCGTTGATTGGTTCTCAAGTTTTTGGTTTTGGGGATTGGGGTTGGGTGGGTGCAGGGGTGGAGGAGGAGAGGTGAGAGAGAAACTCTATTTTTTTTTTTAATTTCTAATTTTATTAATAATTTATTTAGGACTTTACACTGTTTTGATAAATTGAGAGTATGATTGTAATTAATTATTTTTATTTTATTTTTTTATTTTTATTTATTTATTTTATATATGAGGGTGTATTAATCTTTTCATATTTTTTTTATTGAGAAATTGGATGAATATGATTTTTTGCACAATCAAAAGTGTAATTAAAGTTAAAATGTAAAAAATGAAAGATAGTAACATTTTCTATCAGTGAACGATATAGACGTTATATACTAATTACCCTTTCATATTATAAATTTTTCAAATTTTAAAAGTTAAATTCAGTGAGTAAAGTTCATTGATAATCCGGAAATACTTTAAAATTTAGTGAGTAAAGTGTGACAAAGCTCATAAACTTAAGAAATATAATGAGTCAATGATAAAATATAACGTGTTAAAGTTCAATGACCAATTATAAGCATTTCAAAGTTGAGTGACTAAAGCGTGATGGATGGAGGTACAATTTTAAGTGACTAATGAAACAATTAACTGGTAGAAACTAGAAAGGGAGAGTATCAAGAAGAACAGGATAGGAGATATTGAGAAAGACATTGGGGAAGGGGTTGAATTGAGAACAGCCATTCAAAAGCCAGGATTTCGTTTATTTTACTGCTGTTTATTGTCATTCATACATTATATGCATAAAGTATATTATATATACATCGTGATCATTCACGTGTCTATGTTTTCTTTTTCTCATCCTTTTCCCGTTTGATTTCGCCTTTTTTTTTTTTTTTTGTCTCTGGGTAAAGATTCTTGGTGGTTACCGTTTATCTAAAGGTGGTCGTTTAATATATAAGGGACCCTCTGTTTGATTCAACTCTCATTTATTCAAGAGTAAGAGAAAATCTAAAGGGAGAAAATGGAGGGAGGGAAACAATCAGGTTCTTCTTTCACTTCTGATCTTTTTGGTTCAAAGGATTCTTCTGCATCATCGTCTTCTCGGATTTTCGACTCAATTTTCGCACCTTCTACTCAGGTATATTATTTATATTGAATGGGTTTTTTGTTAGATTTTTAGATAATGGGGTTTTCTACATTGTACAATTTTTATCGAATTCCTATTTTTGTTTTCAAATAAAAAAATAAAAACTGAAGTTTGTTGGAGATTTTGAGATTTGACAATCAACTTTCCAACGCTGATGTATGTACTGAATTAAATCTGTATGTGAGAATTTTAGTAAGTGTTTAGGTAATCTTCTTCTGTCCCAAGAAATGATGATTAACATCAATATCGACACGTCTAGTGGTTTTTTTTAAAACTATTTCTCAGGTTTCCTGACGTGCGTTGGCTCTGTTTTAGGAAGAAGGATTCTAGTTATGCTGTCATCTTGTGTGCAAATTCAATCTTTTTAGTGAAAAATTAACATATTTCCTCCTAGGTTCATTTACAAAATACTTAATTTCGTCTAATTCTTATTAAGTCAATCTGTTTTAGGTCCCGGGACAAGCATCTTTACATCCTCTTGGATCTGAGAAGAAGCAGGACTCTGGAAATACAGTATGGAGTGCCAATACTGGGGTTATAGGTTGGTAATATATGTACTTATTATGTGTAAAAAAAAAAAAAAAAAGGACCAACATGTAAATGAGGCAATTCAAATGAGATTTAGGGTGCTTAAACTCGAATTCGTATAACAAACAGGTTTTGAACTTGCTCAACTTTGACTCTTTTTTAGTCAAATTCAGGTTGGGTTTGATCTAGATGAATTGGATTAGATCGAGCTCAAAAATTTCATGAGATTATTATCTTAAAAATTAACTTATTTCATTCTTAATAAAGGTTGAAAACTCTTCACTTCAACTCCTTACAAAATTACTTCTTACAACGCTAATTGCTTAGGTTTGGTAACATTCATTACATGATGATATATTATGTACGTTTGGTGATGTTGTGATGAACATTCTGCATGCAACGTTCACAGCCTTCACTTTTTTTTTTTTCTTTTTTTTTTTTTTTTTTTTTTNCAGGATCTCTTTAATAAGGTTTCTATAATTGCAGAAATATTTCTTGATTGGGAATAATTACGAAATTTTGGTAACACTTACCCTTGATGGTGCACGTATGTGTGTTTTAACCCTTCCTCTTTAAGGTATAATTTTTCGATTTGTACTAACTTCAGGTTCTTTTTGCAGGCAATAACACTAGAAGTGTTGAAGGTCAGAGAAAGAGCATACTGAGCAAAGACCCGAGTTGGGGTTATCAGGAAGAAAAAGTTCAACCATTTCATTATAGCTCGTCGATATACTACGGTGGTCAAGATGTCTATTCTAGTCCCCAGAATACTCAGAGTCCAGGACTAACTACTGTGAGTGCTCTTTACGCCAATGTAAATATTCACTATATTACGAGAAAGCTCAAGTAATTTCTTCACATTTATTACGTGGTTATCTGACGTGGATGTCTTTTTTGTGTAAATGGCAATTCAAGAGGAAATTCATTTTGTTACTCTTAGTGATTATGAGTCTCACTAGTAAATAATAAAAATCAGGAATTTTGCCTTTTACAAGCCTCTTTGGCAGGATAGTTTTTATCGAGATTTCCATTAGTAAAATCAAATACTAAAACTCTCTTGCCATGAACAAAAAGGAAAAAAAGAGAAGGAAATAAACTGCTCCTATTTTTTTGTCCTTTTTTATTTTAAGACTTGATAAATTTATGGGGAAGGTTAACCAAATTAAACTATGTGTTAACATATTTTTGATTTATTATCAGTTTGGTAAAGATGGGGAAGAAGATGACTCAGGCAGTGCTTCTAGAGGGAACTGGTGGCAGGGTGCGTATCTTTGATTTCGGATTGGTGCATGGTTCAATTATGGTAGCTAGACTTCTCTTATTTTGACACATTCATTTTTCATTTTTTGGCAGGATCTCTTTATTATTAGAGTTTGTCACCATGGCATGGGAATTTACCTTATCTTAGGTACTTACCATTCAATATTTCAATTTCTTCTTGAAATCCAAACACACACGTCTAGACTTTTTTGTTCTATATGTGCAGTAATAAAATTCCGGTCTGCAATTTATTACAGCTTTTTATACTTTTCTGATGATTGGTAAAAGCGACCTGGGGTGATTTTCAATTACCATCTTGAAAATAAATAAGAGTTTTGCTGTACGTACAGAAAAACTTTCACAGAATTGTTACAGAATTCCATTCGACGCATTATCATTGGTTCTTGTCCAAAAAAAAAAAAAAAAAAAAAAGGGAAATCTACGAGGTCACCATACCCTATATGCAAAGAATAATTCAACAAATAAATGAAGACACTGTTTGCTTCTATAACCTATCAACTTGTGGTTAATGCATCTTGACTGTTGACATGTCGTAGTGACATTACAAAATTTTCTCCAGATGACAAAACAATAAACAATTAAATGAAAAAGGATTTGAATAAGTAAGAAAAAGTTGCAGATGGGATGTTATGTTGAGATGTTGGTAGAGATCTTATTACTGTTATCTTTGTAGATGATGTGATTAATTGACCTTCGATGTTCATTTGCAGGAAAGTATAAAAGAAGGGAAGAAGGGACGGACTTGTTCTAGCTTCTTTTAAATGGAAGATAGATTATAGTTAATTTAGCTAAAGACGGCTACTTTTTGCTACTCCGTGATTCCACTCTTTCTCTACAAGGCTACGAGACTGTGTCGAGTTGTATATAATTTTAGCTACTAAATCTTTTTTTTTTTTTTCGATGTCATACTGTAAAGAATAATGAACTTGGTGCTTTTAGCCCTTCGGCTGAATGGATATGACCTTTGGTATTTTCATATTTGTGTCATCTTCTGATGTCTTCAAGAGGATTATTGGATTGCTAGTTGAATGGATTGTGCCTTGGCAACGATAACTGTCAGACGACTAGTCTTCCTATTACTAACTGTTACATTATTTTTATTGTGTGTCCCATGGAACATATTTGAGTTGTCCCTTTCTTTGAACTTTGAAATATACAGAATGGGACGTCTCATTGATAAGCACAGTTCAAAGGTGGACAATACTTGTTATTGATAAGGTTGTAAAGAAAAAGGCGACAAAATTGGTTGATATGTTAGTGTCAATCTGATGTTTCTGGTGCATGACTTTTCTTTTTGAAGCCATGGCTGATCTGAGTTAGAACTAGACGGGAGTATGATCCATTGAACATATGTGTTTGTGTGGTCTTGAAGAATTTTGCTCATCCAGCTAATTACCAGTATTATTTGTAGGACTCTTCGAATTTAATTAGTACTTGTTTGGGATAGCTTAAAAAGTTTATGATGATATTTTCCCCTTGAATTTAAGAATTTCAATTACGTATGCTATATTGTTCTTAATGTTTTCACAACTTGAATTTAGAAAACAGGTTCTTCCTTTTATAGCTCAATCTTTTTATTAATAAGTTGGTTCTATATAGTATTGTAGCATATAAATGTCATGAGTTTCGTAAAAAATTGTGGACATAGCTCTTTCAACTAAAAAATTGGTTGCGACTTGCAGGACTATAAATTGTGTGCTCGTGAGAGAGGGAGAGGATACCGTCTCTTTTTTATCCGTTTAAATTTTTTTAGATGATAATATAATTCAACGATTGCTTTGGATAAACACAAACGTACAAGAATGTTTACATTGCATCATCATGGTTTGATTCAACTCGAAACTTTAACAATTGGTCTTTAGTTTGTAATCGTTGATACATATTTTGATATTTTTTGCTTAGGATGCTCGAAGTAGTTGTACTCGTCTTATCATCAATATATAATCCCATAAAAAAATAAAATAAAATAAAATAAAATACAAGAACGGTATCCTATACTGACTAAGTGTGAGTCAACATCCCCACTTCTGTAATTTCAGAAGTTAACAATTTTGATTAATTAGAAGTTAAAGATGGAAAACCCAAAATCAATAATCCCAGAGAAGGAAGCAATGTATCATTCATTAGATTAAAGATAGAAAACTCAAAATCAATAATCCCAGAAAAGGTAACAAGGTAATATTCATTAACTTTTTTAATCGGGAAAGCTTCTCACATGATTTCCTCTGATTTAGGACATATTCAAAAGAAACACGTAGAAAATATCATGTGCGCAAAGATAAATATAAAGACAAATGTGAAAAAAATATTCAACGCCGTTGCCGGGGATCGAACCCGGGTCACCCGGGTGACAGGCGGGAATACTCACCACTATACTACAACGACTTGTTGGCCTTATTGTACAGAAACATCTTTCTAATATAATTAGTGAAGAGATTATTGTTTATTTAAAAAGCTAAAACGTCGACTATTTCTCTAAGGAAAGCGTTCTTCCTACATATAGATTTAACAAATAATCGTGACCTTTAACTTAAGCAAATCTAACGGTCAGTATGTATTTCACTAGGATAATGGGAGAGTTAGTTATAATCACTTGAGATCCATGAGATACTAACTGTTGAATTTGCTTAAATTAAAGATCCCATGCTTTAATATGTCAATTTTCATTAACTTTATATTTATAACTTGTTTGGAGAAAAGTATAATAGCATGTTTGGCTAAGCTTTAGATTTACTTCCTAAAAACTACACAAATTTTGAATTTATTTTTGACAAAAGTAAAAGCTAAAAAGCAGAGTTTGCATTTTTATCACCGATCCAAATTTTTTGCATTTTTAACCGACCCAAAAGTAAAAGCTAAAAAGCAGAGCTTGCTAATTTGTTGCTACCTGTTTGGCCCTATTTTTCACAACTCATTTTTTCCCAAATTCATATCTAATCTCAATCTTAATAAAAAAATTTGTACGTGAATGTATACATTCTCCAAAAATATTATTTTTTTACAAAATCTCTACCAAACAGGAAGGATAATAAATTTCATTGCTAGGAAAGAAAAATGGTTAAGTTATTTATTGTATTACTAAATTAGGTTGAGTAGTACTTACTAAGCTCCCGTTTGGCCTCATTTTTTCAAATTTTAATGTTTGGAATAATGTTTTTTTGAAGAATGTAAGGTTGAAAATGAGTGGGTACAAATTCACAATTGCACGTGCTATATCATAGTCGATGTGAGTGGTTGCAACAAAGAGACGAGACGGTAAAATGGATGAAGCCCCGTGTGCTTCATTTTTCATGGTTATTACATGACAAATTATTTCAAGAATTCATGTGCTGGCATGAGCCAGAGTCGATAGTGGCAAGTGCAACCACCACTTTTTCTACTACTCCGGATGATGTCCTATCAACTTTTGAAATTTGAAGACAAGAGTCAAAGTTAACAATTCAGATATGCAATGATTCAATACCTAAACCCTTTTCTTTAAAGCAGAAGTGTAAATGTGAGACGACTGTCATACTTTTATATTTATGAAGAAAGAATCATACTTCGACTGGGAAAGACCAAAGAATATTAGTTTGATCAAAATAGAAAAATTGAAATATAATTTGCTTATGACTCGATTGAGTAGAATTCATAAAGAGATTTTTCTTGAATAACGAATCTCTAACTCTTCTATCATCAAGTAGCGCACACAAACCAGTATGACGCGCCATCTCTTGTTTTCACGAAATTCTTTAGTACTACATAAGCTATATCGTATTTATGCCCTTTTCTGGCCTCATTTTTTCAAATTAAAATGGACGAAATAGCATTTTTTTTTTTGAAGAATGAATGGTTAAAAAGAATGAATTTTTTTTATTTATATGTAATATTATTTTATAGAAGAGTGTGTAATTAAAAATAGGAGAAAGAGAAATAAAATTTAATTTAATAGGAGCCATACAGGGACTATAATTTTTTTGGTTAATTGTTTAAAAGATGCAGATCTAAATGTGTAGATAATAAACTGTTATATACTGTGTATAAATATTCGAACCGCTTTTTATTCACACATTTCAAAAAATTCATATGATACTCACTTACCTACCATTAATTTCGATTTATTCATAATTTATTTATTTATTTATAAATACTTCCAAAACAATAAATAGGTATTGGATGTAGAAAATTTTGGATCCAACAAAATGTGTAGATCAAATGTATATTTGATCAACTTAAATTATAATTTAAATTTAGCCAAGCATCTCCTTAATCTACTTTTCACTGAGCTCTCGTTTAGTGGAGATTAAAATTTAATATTTAGAAAATTTTAATAAAAGTTGATAACTTATATAGTTGAAAAGTTGTGAATCCCATTAAATATATGAGTAAAATTAATTGTTAACTTTAATTTAATTTTTTAACGTCTACATAACAGAAGTCAAATTCATTTGTTCTTGTCCACACACATAATTTGTACTTTTCACCTCAATTAAATGAGAAATAAAAGGACCCACCAACACGTGGATGCCACCCTCAGCCCACCAGTCACGGCTATGATTTATGAAGTAATGAATGAATCTTGAATCTTAAATGATTATATTGTCACGATAGTTATGGGGATCTATTAACTACAATCACTCCCTTGATTTTTTATTAACTGTTAGTTATGGTCCTTAAAAGACAGACCAGTTTTAGGTGTAGCGATCTTTTTCAGTTGCATAAATACAGTATATGTTTAGCTGTATAATTCAAGTTGTTTAAATATAAATTTTATTTATACACGGAAATTTACAAAAATGTCAACTTGTCAATTGAAATGTGTCTAATTTTGATAACTATTATAAAAATGGTCAAGTTTGACACCAAAATGTCCGTCGCCTTAATGAAAGAATAGCAAAAAAAATATAAAGAAAAAATTACATAATTTCGTTTTGAAAAGAATAATAGAATGAATTTGCAAGTTAATTCGACTCTCCACAAATTTCAATAGAAGGTAACGTTTTCGAAATCTTGTTTATGTTGATAAATTGTTGTTATACACTTGATTAAATGGAATGGAATGATCATCAAAATAAGTTGTAAGATTATTGGAGTATCTTATCAAAATTCACATTGATTTAGGTGTATTACTGACAATTTGTATTACATCATTTCTTAAATAACTTCGATATCAACGAATACAGTGTAATCATGTGTTGACCATATCATTGATGGTGAGAATGAATTCTTTGTAATTATGTATTGACCATACCATACAAGCGGTAAGGTGTAATCTTGATATATCGTTCTTTGAAGCATCTAGACATCGAGAATGATATTTTTAATATTAGTTTGGACATTTTTCAAATGTAGAGAATGACAATAAGAAAAGGGCAAAGTTAGAGAACACTGTGTTTAGCATTTTACATATAATGTGTGAATAGCATGTTCGTTTTGGGTATTCGTATGTAACCTCATTGTAGTTGTGTTGATGGCATGTATGTATGAGGGATGTAATGAGGTTTGTTGTCTCGCATGATGGTACCTTCGTCAAAGCGAATAACGATTGGAAGTGATATGAGAACCGAACAACGTCAATTGTTATTTGAAGCGACATTCAATATGAAGAGTTTGTTAATAAATTGTTTGGGAATCTAAATGTTGATAGAATGCAATTTCAAATTCAATTGAAAATCAAAGTTCTAAACACAAATATCCCCTGTCGATGTAGCCGACGATGGGGATCTGCAATGGTGCATTTCTATTCACACAAAAATAGTCTTTTGCATAGTTGCGGATCAATTGAAGGTTGAAGAGCATGAGGTAAATATAGGAGTTGACCATTTATCATCGGTAGAAAATGCGTTGTCTGGGAATGAGGAATTGGGCGTGGACAATTCGAGTTGGACCCTTTATTACCCTAGTGTCTCATTTGCTGGCATGCTTGCTCGTGCAAGCATTTTCTCTTCGTTTCCAATTTTGTCTTGATCTGTTGTCATTCTTTGATATGTTTGTCTCGTTC